GGTGAGCTGACACTGCCCTTTCGTACTCAGGTTCTTTCTGGGGCTGAATCACATCCTGCCGTGTAGACGGACCATGTTCTGACCGCTCGCTTGTGTGTTGCGACATGGCGTTATTTCCACCACGGCTGCTGTGACTGGTGCCGTGCCAGCCGGGGTGCAGCGCTCACCTGAACTCCGGTGTCCCGTTCTCGGGCGTGTGCCAGCAGTGGGATGGCCGGTCAGAGGGGCGATGTGTAACGGGCCCGCGGTCTCGATGCCCCACGTGAACAAGGATGGGGCCTGTGGTTCCTTGTCCACAGTGTCCATCCTGTGGGTCCCCAGGTTCATTCCTGGGCGCTGAGCTGACACCCAAGAGCTGAGCCGCACGAGGAGCAGACACAGGCAGGGCCCAGCCCTCGGGTGCGTCTGAGGATGGAGGTTTCAGCAGGGCCACTGGCAGGGGCACAGCACTGACCCAGGGAGGAAGCGAGGCCCTTGGGAGGGAGGCCACCGGGAGGAACTGCGGGTTGGAGTGTGGACTGTGGCTCCAGCCTTCCCAGATGCGCACCCAGTGCGGCGGCTGAGCCAGCCCAGGCAGTGCTGGTCTCCTGCGGGCAGGGGTGTGGGTCCAAGCGCAGGCCTGGGGCAGGCCGGGTGTGCATTGGTGGCCACCCTGGCGCCCCGCGTGGGAAGCCAGGAGGTGGAGGGCACACAGGGAGCGTCAGAGCTTTTCTAGGGCAGGCCGGTGGCTGCATTATTGATGGATGTTCTGCAAATTTTAAATGCTGAGCTGGGGGAGGCAAGCGAAACCTCAGGGACGACTGCTTCTGGTGTCTTCCCTCCTCTTGAACTTGAAAGTGACCAAGTCCTGTTTTAACAAATTCACTGCAGCTCCACTGGGTGGGCGGGTGGAGAACAGGCTATAAACACAGCCAGGCTGCCTGCTCCGCAGGCTCACTCACTCGGCCTTATGCGCCTGGCTGCAGGTAAATGACCTGGGAAACAGGCTTAGCAAGGCTTTTTAATAGGCATCGAAACCCCCAAGGACGCCAGGCCCCTCCCCTAGGAGAAGATGGGACGGGGATGGAAGGGGCATCTGTGTCCAGAGAGCCAGGGGATGCCCACCCTCCCCCGGGGGCAGCGTGTCCTGCTGCCCACCCTCAGCCTCTGAGCACCACTCCTGGAGGGGATTTGGTGGAAGGAAATGGTGACCATGACTGAGTCTGAAAAGCACACTTTCTGAAACAAAAACCACACGGAGAAGCCTGAGTCTGCACACACGCACACACACGCACACACACGCACACACGCACGCACACACAGGCACACACGCACTGGCGCTCTCTGGATGGGACTGAGGGTCCCGCCCAGCATTGCCTCCCACTTGCTGGATTTGCTTCCTGACCCCCCCAGGCCAGGAAAGACCCCACCTGGCTGTCAAAAGCAAGACCAGCGCGCCCTCTAGTGGCAGTTGGCTGCACACAGGCATACCCGCCCGTGTGTACACAGATGCACATGGACACATACACCCAGCCGTACATGTGGATAGGCATATGCATGTGTGTCCCTGTGTATCTGAGATGGCGTGTTTCTCTGTGATGTCTTCTGAGGCAGGGCATGGCCCACATGGAGGCTGTGATTCAATGCTTGGGGTGATTTCACGTGGCCATCATAGAACATCAGTTTCTAAGGGTGAACACTTTCTTTTTCCCTCGGGGCTAACTCCATCCCTTTGCTGTCGGTCTCTGTCCTCTTGCTTTCCCTTCTGGCCCCTGTAGTGGCTGCCGGTCCAGGGAGTGAGATCGGAGCAGGCAGTTTGAGGGCTCCAGCGGCCAGCCCCAGCCTCCTTCTTTCCCACCAGGCGGTCAGATGGGCAGAGCCCAATGGCGGGACCCACGGGTTGCACCCAGCAGGACCTTGCAGTCTTGCAGACAGTGATGGCAGCCCCTCGGAGGTGACATCTGGGTGCAGGAAGGGCCTGAAACGCCTCCCTGCCCCATCCTGGAAACACTGCTGAGGTTCCTTGCAGCTCAGTTTCCCAGTCAGTCCCAGGAGGGAGGGGAATCAGATTTGTGAAGAGTGAGAGGAACTTGAGAGTGAGAAACGAAGTTTCCAGAGTGAGGCTGCCTGCAGCTTTGTTGGAGAATCTGATTTTGTTCTGCAGCTTTCCTGGGGGAGGGGACTGGAGTAACTGAGGCCCCCTCAGGGGGGTCACCCACAACTCTGGGTGAGACACAGATGAGAGGTGGCTCCTGAGCAGGACCTAGCCACTCATTAAGGGTGTGTAAGGACTAGGGGTTCGGATTCGGTGTGCCTACCTCCCCATTGGCCTGGCACTCTCCCCAGCCTGTCCCTGCCATGTCCTGGCTGAGTCAGGGCCCTGACCAGGCAAGCAGCGCCCTCTGCTGGGCAGGAGGAACAGGCACCTTCCTTCTGCTGGGATCTTGACCCACAGCAGCCCAGGGGCAGGGACCTTGGATGGGGCGACACCTTGACTTGGGAGCCTGGTGGGTTTCTGAGCACACATTTTGTTCAGACAGAGCCACTCCAGCCAGTTAGAGATGGCGCTGGCCATGCTCTCTGCCTGCTGCCCAGCCTGCACTCAGAAAGTGACCCACTAGTGGCTATGTTGGTGTGTGAGCAACACTGGCGCCGTAACAGTCCTGAGAGCAGTGACTGGCACCAGCACCCAGCTACACTAGGCAGCACTGGGGGTCACATCAGCATGTCCTTCTCACTGCTTCAGTGGCTAGTGTGACCACGTGGAGTCAGCCGGGCACATGGCCCTGCCCCATCTCAGATGAGAGCACAGAGGCCAGTGAGGGCCAGGGCTCCTCTGGCCCGCTGGTCACAGGCGGCCTGAGGCTGGTGGGCCAGGTTCCTGCACCCGGCTCGCCGCAGCCCCTCCCCACATGCCCGGCACCTTGGAGAGCCTGTGGAGGAGCCCTGACTGTGCTCTCCTCCCTAGTGCTCTGAGGAGCTGCTTCCTCGCACGTCTCCTGGGCAGTGAGGGGAGATGGGAGCTGGGAGTCAGCACCCTGCCCCCAGCACACCAGCTGTGGCTTTGTAGGCCATGTGACCTCTGTCTCAGCCACTCAACTCAGCTGTTGTCATTGCAAAAACAGCCACAAACAATGTATAAATAAATGGACTTGGCCGAGGGCTGATAAAACGTCACTTACAGAAATGAGCAGTGATTGGCCCACTGTGCACAGTCTCTGGATCATGTGGCTCCCCTCAAAGCCCCCTCATTGCCTCCCAACTGCCTACAAATGACGCCTTACGGGGCACCAAGGACCTCGGAATCTCTGCTGTCACCGCAGTTATTTGGGAACATTCAGGGCATGTTCACTGGGCGCTTACAATGTGCTGGGCACTGCATTTGACCCTGGGGACACGGCAGTGACCCCCAGAGCTCAGTTTGGTGAGGGCCATAGACGAGATCAAATGACGGCATGACAACCGTAAAGTCAGAACAGTGCCACACACCATGCAGGAAGAGGTGACAGGGCCTGGCTTGTCAGGAGCGTCAGCAGAATTGTGTGAGAAAAAGGCATTTGAGCAAAGACCTGAAAGAAAAGCCGGCATCGACCAGAGAAAAATAAGGTTCCAGCACATGCAAAGGCCGGAGTGGGCGGGGAGCTGTGTGAAGAACCAAGGGAGGTGGGACAGAGCGTGCGGGAGCCTGGTCCAGATGAGGCTGGAGAGGGGCCAGCAGCCAGGCACATAGCCTCGGGCCATGGGAAGGACCTGAGTGTGAGCCAGGGAGCTCTGCTGCGTGAGGAACCTCTCAGACCTCGGCGACCTAGAGCAACACCCCCTGGCTCCATTTATTTAGCTCCCATTCCACAGATGTCAGCTTGGGCCGAGCTCAGCTGGAAAACTCTGGCCTGGGCCAGACTCAGCCACACATGTGTCACCAGCTGCCAGGTTGACTTGGGGCTGGTGGTCTGGGAGGCAGGGAGAAAGGGATAGTGAGATGATGGATGGATGGATGGATGGATGGATGGATGGATGGATGGATGGATGGATAGATGGATGGATGGAAAAAGACAGTTTGATGAGCATCTGCTCTTTATAATTAATTCTCTCTCGAGCCAGTTTCTGGAAGCTGAGCTCACTTCACTAATCACATGGCTGGGAGTTGGCCTTTCCTTTAACCTCTTGGAGGAGTAGAGCTTGAGATAATTTGTCACGTGGAAGGCATTTCATAAGGTCCCTTTCTGCCTTGGGCCCCAGAATCCTTCCTCCCCTAATGGTGCACCGAGAGGTAGGCTGTGGTCCCAGCAGAACTGCCGCCAGGCTTGTCCTCACCTGTCACAGCAGAAGCACCTGTGATCTCTGGCTCAGAATAGGGGTGTAGAAAAGGCCCCCTCTGCTGACTCAGGGATGCCTGCACCAGAGGCCTCGGCAAGGGCCAGGTGGACAAGGCCGGTGACTAATAGAATTCCCACACCCATCGAGCTTTGCCTGCCGGAGCGCCTGTGACAGCTCACACCGGCATGGGAAAGTGCAGTGCTCCTCTGGACTCTGTTCAGACAGAAAGTGTGCTCGGATCTGCACACCTACAAAAGGGGAGAGGGCTTGTCTCCTGTCTGAACTTCTGACTGCAGCTGAGCTAGACACTGAAAATGCTACAGGCACAAGGCCCTTCCAGACATGTGTCTGGGGTTGTCGCTCCCTCTGCAAGCAGCTCATCCCTGGCTTTCCAAGCCCGGTGCAGCACTGTGCTCCCTGGGCCCCCCTCCCCTCTGTCTTGGCACCAATTATGACCTGTACTCTAGCAGCCAGATCCACTGAGATGAAGACATGGCCAGGCTCTTCATGCTGCGCTTTCCCACAGAGAACATTCTTCCTCTGAGAGTCTGGGAGAGCCCTGTGGCCATCAGGCCTCTCTGTGGGTGTGGGGCCCAGCTGCAGCGAACTCCACCCAGGGAGCAAGCTCCTAGGATGAAAAGTGTAAACAGCCTGTAAACTAAAACCCAAACTGATGCCCTGTTCCCCCAACTTGTTCCTTCTAGAAAGTCCAGCAGTACACAGTCATCGTTCAGGCCACAGACATGGAGGGGAACCTCAACTATGGCCTCTCGAACACAGCCACAGCCATCATCATGGTGACGGACGTGAATGACAACCCACCAGAATTCACCTCTAGCACAGTGAGTACCTAGCATAGCCCCGGGGACGCGGCCACACGTGGCAATTCACTGACGTTTGGTGCTGCTTCTGTCCTTGCTGCTGGCGGGTAGGAGGAACGGGACAGACAGGGGTAACAGAGACCCAGGGCAGGGGAGGCTGGTGCAGGGTGGCACCTCCAGGACCTTGCCCAGGGGCTGGCCTGCTTTGGGGAGGCCTGTTCCAGTCGGGCACAGCGCCACCCCATATGGAGTGACGGGGGCACCCTGAGAGGCACCCGGACAGAGCGAGCCAGACTCTCTTTCTGAATCCAGAAGAGTTGATCAGTGGTGCTCAGGCCCCGGGGAAGGGCTGATGTCTTGGCCACCCTGGGAGTCATGCTTGCGGCTGGGTGCCCAGCGGACCCGCTGGAGGCTGCCCAGTGGGGCCTCTGTCAGCAGAAAGGGGCCAGGGTGTGAGGATCCGCTGCGCCCTGTGCCTCCCTCCTCATCAGGCACATACGGCGGGTTGTAACCAGGCCCCACACCAGGCTGCACCTGTGACCAAGCCCTTTTGGTGGACATTCATTCATTCGCTCATGCACAGAATGCTACTGGACGTCCATCTGGTCTAGAGCCAGAGAGTCACAGAGACAAGCTGCCCGCACACAGGGGACACCCTAGGGGTGGAGTCATGGGGCCACAATCACAAGGCTCTGTCCCCAGGAAGCCCCTCCTCCTAAAACCCTCGAGGCTCACTCAGTGCCCGGCACACTGGAAGAGCCCTTCTGGGCCATGTGGCAGTCTCAGGGGCCCAACCTCTGCTCTCCCTCCGCTCATGAGCCAACACACTCCCACGTGACCCTCAGGTCCTTGGCGAGCAGTGTTGTGTCCCCAAGATGTCTTTTTGGGCCCCTCAAGGGGTGTACTGACATGGTGGGGACATGCAGCCACCCCTCAGTGCCCGTCCAACAGTGCGGCAGGTTCGGGGGCTCACAGAGTGTGTGGGAGGCTGAGGCTGCCCCGAGGGTCTCAGGTCACCTTCTCGGAGCTGCCCTCTCCCTGGCCACTGGCGGGCGGAGTGTGTGAGGTGGAAGAGCAACAGAGCAGCAGTGACTACAACGCAAGCCGCACAGCTTACCAGGCACTGGCCAGGCCGCCTCTAATCCCCACCAACCCATGGGGTCAGGATCCAGTTATAGGAGGAACCTGAAGCTCAGAGAGGCTAAGTCACTTGCCCAAAGCCATACAGCCTGTAAGGGATGGGGGCAGGTGAAATGGGACCCCAGAAGCTCTGCTTTCATTAGACAGCTAAGGGAGCAGGCAGGAGGAAAGGGGGCAGAGAAGTGAGGGGGGCAGAGAGGAGACCACTTCTTCTTCCCGTGGGTCAGTTTCCATGAAGGCATCTCACAGGCCAGAGCCCCCTCAGGTGAACCGCAGCATGGCCTCCAGGCATCCGCTCATCCTGATGCCCCACGCCCCCGTGCCCCTTCGTCCCCACATCCCCCTTCTCAAATCACAGAGTCCGCAAATCCCCCATCCCTGCATCCTCCAGTCCCAGGCTCTGGGTCAGGTGGGCCAGGGCGGGCCAG